ATAAAAACAATTACGTAACACCAGATTTGAGGCTAAATATACTGGTTAATTAAATATCAGAAGACCGTATGAATGGACAATTAGTGAAGTTGAAATAATGATATATATATATATATACTTGAATTACATAATAATTTTAATAAGTGATGTATAAATCATTAACCGGATAAAAAACCTATAAAGTTTAATAGGTCACATTAAAATACAAATGGTAAATTGATCCCTCTTACTTTTCATTTCTAGATAGGGTTAATTGGCTAGAACTTGGGAAAATGATTTTTGTGTGATTGAAAAACACTTGAAAATTTAAAATTCAACACTAAACATATGTTGCTTGATATAGAAATTTGGTGATTGTTAGGTCAGTGAGGGAAAAAGAAGTCAAATCTAGGAATTTACCTGTAATATGTAAGTCACCTAGTTCTCCAAATGTTACTTGCTTTGTTCTGCTATAAATATTTTGTAGATAAGTGAATTTGTTTTAAGGTGGGAGTAAATTAACATCAAGACTATGATTAAGAAACATTAGTTATTTGAGAGTCTGTGGAACACATTAATACATGAGTCAATATATAATGCTAACACAGGCAACTAAATCTAAAACACCCTTCCATCTGAAAAATTCACTGGCACTGTTAAACAATTAAATTGTCGAAATACGAAAAAGAATAAAATTTCTACCGGTGTCATATAAAATAAAAGTTTAACATACCTATCTCTAGCTCCAAAAATTTAGTTTTGTATGTAGTAAATAAAATATCAACAGGAGATTTGAAAACATAATTTTACTAACAATAAAATTGAAAAAGTAGTATACCAACAATATAAAATCCTATGAAGAAAAAGTCCTAAATCTGCAAAATAATTGTTCCAAGTCGAATTATTGTTTATTAATAATGATAAGTGTTAAAAAAACCAATAACCATTATAATAGCTCACATAAATCTACTGACTAGGCTAATCTCAAAAGATGAAGATTAATGTGTATAGGATAACACGTCTATTAATTACTTTCAACTATTTATAAAACTTCAAATATCTATGATCTAAGCGGATGACCATATCATGCTCCATGGTGGCTTTTTATCACGGAGGGTCAGTCATATTAAGAATAGCTCAAATATGTCCGTACAACTGTCATTTTTATACATGGATGTCAACCTTATAAGAAACACACAGACTCGGTGTATCCCCCTTTGGTTCTATCCACTTATTATAGATGATGATTAAATATAATTAACGATTAGATCGTACATATACTCTTGAACTGCACATTAGTCTGCTTATATAACTTGGGTTTGTTTGGTGAAGTCAAGTTACTTAGTTTTATTTCCTTTGTGTGGAAATAGTACTTTGAAAAGGTGTTACAGTTAGTAAAATGTATTAAAATGAAGTTCACAGACTTTTAAATAAAAAATAATCAACTAAAAATGCAATAATCGAATATGTAATCCATATAAACAGCATCCTGCTATTTGATAGTAGGTTAATTAAGTAAATCAAACAAAGTCTGAATCTATTCAAGTGAGTACACGTAGGCCCCCAAATGCCCTGGTACGGTCGAGAGTGGGAAGAGTTAGTTCAACTTTTCCAGATGCTCTCACATGGCCACGTGCATATAACCATTACCAGTGAAGTCATGCTCACCACCTCCTCGCGGCAGCGGTGTTATTTACGAAATCGAGAGGACGAAAAGCAAATTCCTGGCGCTTTGACAGGGTTGGTGGACACAGGAGTTGGAGAACCCTGATTCCAAACCAGTGGTGCTCATGGGCTCCAGGATCCTAAGGAAACGAATGGCGTATTAACCTATTGTTGGTCACCAGCTACCTTTTAACTGCATCTCCTGATGTTGCTCCACTGCCTTGTGGATTAAAAGTCTAGGCCAATGGCTCGGGATGTGGCCTCTTAAAAAAACCATCTGCTTCGGTCTGGGCGCCCGAACAGTATCTCAGCCCTCACACAAATCAAATTATTTATGTGGCACATATCTGTTTGGTGCCCCCTTGTATCAATGTCTATGTGTTTAAATAAATGAGTGGAGTAGACTTAAAGCGACTGGTAATCAAATTAGGCTAAAATATAAAGCTCGTTATTAAGAGCACGACAATATTATCCTTTTAGTAGTACTATCACAATACATTATGGTAAGATCATCATTCATAATATGGGAAAAAATTGTTTATTTTTTCAGTCTATCACTTAACACAGCTTCGATAAAATCTGGAAGTAGATGTTAGTGATGCTACAGCTTAAAATACTATGTGATGTTCGAATTAAATTACTGATCGAAAGGTATAAATTAGCCGCAAACTTACGAAACATAGTTACCTCTGAAGTAATTAATTTTTCTGTAAAAAACGATGTAAAATTCTTTCTGATAAAACTAAAAACGATAAAATCTAAATAAACTTGACGTCGTTTCTAAATTAAGGGGTTACTATAGTTTGAATAACTACATGACCTAGATAAAATATCGGGGCCAGACATATTGTTGCTTTAACTCACTAAACTTAATAACTATTTTGAAATTTGCACAAGCATAGAACGAAATATTTCCTGTATTTTTACTTAGCAGAGATACATAACTAACCTAGTTACACATTAAGAACTATTTAAAAATCTATATTGTAGAAATATTCGCAGCCACTCAGACATAGACTCGTCTGCTTGTCTAAATTTACAATATACTGTTCCGTAACGGAAGTTGAAGAACACTTGTTTATGGGCGAATTAAGGAAACTGTAGCAAACAGCTCCTTAAAATAAACGGATTTATAAACATCTAATAATCATAGTTTCCTTGTTAGTCTTATTAAGCATAACTAGTCGAAGGCATTTGAACAAGAATAACCAGAATCTACTGAAACAATTTTCTCTAACTATTTTAAAAGCCTATCACTTCTACAGATCTACCTGCAATCAAATACACTGATCCTTTCAGCAGCTGTGGTCTGTTTCCTCGTTTATCTCTAAAGCAGTCGTCGTATGATACATGAAAATCATAAATATTTGATCCTGTTATATCCAGTATGTCATTAAACGATATGTTCTTACCACTCAGTTAATTACTGATGCATTTCTAAGCCTTTATAGTGAAAGCTTGTATTTTTTAAACCACGATCTTTCTTATGCTAATTTATTAGGTCTTCTTTTTAAAGAATGACAGACAACATGCGCTAGTTCTTCAAGTCTGTTGTTTGGGGTTTATTTTTATATATTAAAATATAGCCCGATGGTTGATTTGCTTCAGATAAACAGCTAAAACATTTGTTGCTTTGTTTTTCGATTTATATTGAAGACATTTCAAATAACTTGATTACATTACTAATGGCGATTTTTCAAACTGATTAACTAATTGAAACTATGACGCATTCTAAACCCTACACTGATTATTTCTAGTTGCGATTACTGGACTGTTCTAATTATACACTTGTGTTAAGTTTTATTGGTTACTTTTATTAATAAAAAGTAAGTGAATGTCATGTGCTTGTTGAACCGATAACTCTAAATTGTTGTGCGTTCTCTCAGATTATAAAATAGGTGTCTCTCGGGACGGTACTTCATCACAACGTACTTCTAGATTAGATGTGAATCAACAAAAACCTGAACGTATTATAGTCTATAAGGGGTTAGACTAACTATTGACACGTTAGTCTAATCAGTGCAGTTGTCATACTAATTGAAAAATTTATTCAGATGGCTGTTATTAGCTATGTAAAATGGTATGGCTTTCTATCCAGGAAAAAATATGGTTTTCAGAAAGGTCTATCATGTTTGACAAATCTTCTCACTGCATAGGAAGATTGAGTTGCCGCAAAAGATCGAAATATTCCTGAAGATGTGATTTTCATAGATCTTTGATAAGGTCTCCCATTTTGGTCTTAAATTAAAACTGGAAAGTTTTGAAATCCATTACACGGTCACAGACTTAATAAGTGATTTTCTCTATGACAGAAAACAAAGGGTAAGGGTAAATGGGCTCTCTCATCGTGGGAACCTGTAAAACGTGGAGTTCCACAAGGCACAATCCCCGGTCGAAGAAATGTTTAGATTATTATACCAAAATTTCATGACACCGCATTTGGAATATGGGATTCAAGAGCGAGTCCTTATTTCAACAATCAGACAGATATGCTGGAACGAGTCCAACGATGAGGGACTAAAATGATAAAAGGTCTCTCTGGTCTATCTTATGAAGGTAGACTGAAACAGTTCAACCTACTCCCTTTATCTTACTGTACAACACGGGGTAGCCTAATATTGGCTAATAGTATACTAAACGATGACCTTGGTATAAATATGTCTTATCTTTTCCTTCCTCCCAAGACTGATCATTTGAGAGGTCATTCCAAGTTCAAAACCCGGAGTCAAATCGTCTACGTCTGGAGTTTTGTTTCTCGTACCGAGTGATAAGCCACTTGAATTCTCTACCGGAACACGTCTTATCAGCATTTTCTGTTGATATATTCAAGATGATACTGGACCTTCACAGTTTTACAAACTTCAAGAATTAAGATAAGTCGATAGATACCCTACCCATATTACTGAAGACCGGATGATGGCTCAATTTAATTTCAAAGGTTAAACAACACAACGCGTCTGAAAACACAACACTCTCAACTTTTCAGCCTGAATCGTCCTAAAAATGTCTGATGTCAGGGAAAAATATTATAATTAATTGTTCACCAAGTAAAGGTTCAAAAACCAAGGCATCAAAAAGCTAAGGGATAAACAGTGATAAACTTATGCAGCTTAGAATTATCAGGCTCCCTAAAAGCTGAATACATTATTGATTTTATAAAGATGCAAAATTCCAATCTCGATCGATAAAGTCATGTAACTTAGTAAAAAAATACATGAGGCTTATTCAGCTTAAAACATAAAAATAGTTTTTTACTCGCTTTACCACGTGTTTACAACAGTTATAAAGCAAAATAAATGACAATTCCTACATTTTAAACATTCCTACTCAAGATTATGAAACAAGGGATGATCTACCTTCTGTATTGTACTCAGATGGATAGGGTCGCTTTTGCTGTATATCTAGCATATTCGAATGATATATCACCTGATGCAGGTAAATCGGGATATCAGTGACTGATCTTAATATATTCCGATTATCATTTTTTGCTCACATATACATACTATTTGAAAAACGATGCGTTTGTAAAGTACATAATAATGACATGGTAAAACAAATCATGTCTGCAAATCTTGACATCTTGTTCTCTGTTCAGGCAGTGAAAAAACGAAAGTCTAGGTTGATCACTGTGAATTGAGATTTTGCGTATGAATGATTATTTTTTGATCAACAAGTTTGGCAGCCTAAATACTACTTGTTAATGCTGTATGTTCCAGGAACTACTTGGAAGTGAATCTTGTCGTTCACAAGATGACATTCCTCCCCCAGTTTTAACCTTTGGTTTAGAGCCTTTTAATTTTTTGCAGTATGGGGAGGGTAAGTTTGTCCTTAATATCTTGTTCATCTTATAAAGTAACTTGATAATATGAGAAAGAATGGTAAGAAATAATTATATTCTGTAGGTATTTTTTGTGTCATCGAATGGTTACCCCAAGGAAGACACATCAAACAGTTCTTTGGAGTCCCTCCTGATGTTCTGAATAGCCTCCCAAACAAAGCCTCTCCTGTGTAGTCCGATTAGTCACTGTGCACATTCCTAACATCTGACCAAAGAGTTGTGTGGAGAGAAAAATAGTCAAGAAAGATCAAGTGCTACGAGCCAAGTGATCAGATTTGCAGGTCATAAAAGTGTGTGGATTAACAGAATAACTAGAACTTGCGGAATGTGAAGAGGTATAACCCTACACCTGATCCTAAAATTACGTTGTCAAACGTTTTGGGGAAGTGCATGCTTCGGTAGATATCTGGCGATTGAACCGATTTCGTTGAAATTACAGAGGTCAACACACATCGTTTTGTAGATGAGCTACATAAGTTGCGTGCGTGTGTTTGAACTTAAAATAGTTCAAGATGTATTTAAAATATCAGCGACGTGACGAAACTACTATTTCACGAGATCATAAGAAATTTTGATTTATGCTATTGTTCATCGACATGAATGACGGACAAATTTTTTTATAATATTTCCGTTGTCTTAATTTATATTATAAACCGGCAGAAAGACTTCAGAATATCACAAACTATATCAATAGAAGCAACGTATCATCTGAATATATGTACAGCTTCAGGTTCAAGGAAGGCATGTTATACAGTTGTGCGCAGTTCCTATCAGATAACCTACTATATTTACCAGCAACGTTTTAAACATTACGGCACTTCCAGAAATTTTGTCCTAACCAGACCGACCGACAAAGATTAGATCGATTCTTCTATAATACTGAAGAGGGTTATTGCTTTGACACAGAAATGTTACAACTTATGAGAAAGGTCGTTGGTCAGTGAACTGCGATGAAGGACTCTTTACATAGCTCTTACTAACCGGGCTTCTCCAATAGCTGATACTGATCTCAACTCATTCTGAAATAAAGCCGTAGACGACCTAGAGACAGATAACCCTAACTGGTATTGACGTCGCATCACCGGTGTCGAGTATCGAAAAAAATTCCTTAACCTCAGACGTTCTACCACAATGAACCTTTCAAGAAACTCTCCTATCGGACCCTTTGACGGCAACAGCAACAGGTAAACGTAGTTGCATGTTAAATGTCACAACAAATGTCCGTCAATTCGTCAACAGTGACACAGATTTCGGCGTTTTTCTCAAGAATACTGAACATCATCTACATAATTCAGTCTCTAACTTACAGGCGGCACATGTAAAATCGATCACCACACGAGATGAAAGTTATGTTTGCCTTCATTTGGGTATACACAAACCCGTAAACCAAAGTTTTTGTTGCCGGAATATTAACCTCAAACACTGGTGTGAATGTACGACAACAACAACACAATACACTCGATAAATCAATAAACAAAGGTTAGTAGATGGTGGTACTAAATTGTCTGTTTTTGGAGTTCTATCTTCTTTTTGTAGGTTGTGCCAGTTATGACTTAACATACTGTCGATCCATGCTTCCAATCGATGTTTGACAAGTATCCTGATTTATAAAAGGAAAACTACAACTTCTGTATAGAACCAGCGATGGTGCACATCACATCGAGACTGCAGGACCACTCCGATTCTTGCAAAGAAAAGACCGGTCAAAAACTAGTTCCGTCACCTCGTACACTTTAGAATAATTGGATCATAAATTCGTAAGTATCACTGTAGAATAGTTTCCAAAAAGGATAACTAGGATTGACATATAGCCACCGATTGTCAATAACTTAGTACCAAAAACAACCCGCGGATGTAACTCGTAATTGTTTATCCGATAATTGATGAACAAATTGAAAACTACGGCTGTCATTTTAAACATCGACTTGAGTGGGGCTTATAACCGTATTTCCATGTGTGAAAACGACCTGCCTAAAACGGCCCTCAGCATTCAGTTTAGAATATGTGGACTTCTGAGCATGCCATTAGATTCAAGAAATTATACGCAAACTATCTCACGATTTACTGATGACGTATTCGGAATCTTCGATTCTGTGTACTCTCATGTTGGTGACTGTTTAATCTCAAGTGCGAACAGAAAACCCTATCTCCAGCATCTCTAACTTGCTTTCTAATGATTGCAAAAATATCACCAGCAAACGCGATTCGACCATTTATATCTGTCATCAGACCTTCTTGTGGTTCAGTTTATACGTTTTGATAGACACGACTCATTACACCGCCCCACGGGCCTTGAATATCAAGGATCTTATAAACCTATTCATCTTGCATAGAAGTACTACGTCACTGAGAAGAATGAAACTGCAAACAACATTAATATCGGTAGGCCAAAAACATCTGCTTAGAAAACAATTTCTTCTCTATCAACTTTTTTATTAAAGAAGTGAACAGCACAATCCCTTAGATTATAGCACAATCATCGGGAGTTAACAACTGTGACGAAACCTATCTGTTAACTAAAAACTGGTCTATTAGGATGCATTCTGAAAAAAACACGTCGGATCACATCTGGGTATCCCGAGCTAAGAATTCCTTACGACCAGTCAGCTCGGACCGTATACACCAAAACATTTCAACGATCATTCAAATATATCTCGGAACCCCTTCATTCCAAATTTGTGACTTGGTTGGTTTTGGAAATCTACGGATTAAACGAAGTTTTTGGTGACAGTGTTGTTAGGAACCGTATACCGTCGACATATTTAGTTCAATCGCCACTCTTAACCCCGGGTGGGATGACGGGCCACCAGGTATATATACCATCGACCATATACGTCCCAAAGCTAGGGCTGCGAACAAATAAGAACCATTTTGCAAGTTTGATAGTAAACAAGATTTCGGAAAAAAGATCTGAATAATATTCTTGGAGTAGCGCAAACAAAACGTCGTGCCATCCAAATATAAACGCGTGAAGTTATATAGAAAGCCTTGAGAATTCTGACGATACATATAATTCGTACCTTCGTATGTTGATCGTCGTTGGCGTCACTTAGACTGCGGATGTCTGATTTCTTATAGGTATGTACAAATTATTTATATACGACTTATTTATTGTTGGACTTGTGAATCTACATTTCATATCATTATCCTAGAATATCCGCTACCACAATCTTTGTTGTCTGACTTTTGTGGCCAGGCTCATCATGTCTGATTAACGTTGGAGTCAACTGCATCGAGAGGTAAAATTTTTGTTAACCTAGAAACTGCTTGGATATAGTAGACCAATCAGGCTTTTTAGACATTGTTGCGTTCCTACGGACTGTTATAAATTTGTTTCTTAGGCCGATTGCTGATATTTTCATGTTGGCTGTCGCTCATGAATTACAATGATCCAGTGATCTTGTAGTGGCATTGGACAATAACCGCACAATCCACAAAGCTGAACGCGAGACTACTCAGAAAATAGATATTCAATATTTAACGCGGATAAATAGCTAACGATGGAGAAGGCGCGAACAATGAATTGAATGGACTGGAGTTGATCGGATGGCATGGCTCGGCCATGTAGGCGTGGTCCATCTGAATGTTATCTTATATCTTCTATTCGTATTAAATATATTGTTCCTTCTCTAGCTTAACGTTGTTCTACATCATGTATTGGTAATTGATACGATACAGTGAGTGGGCGTAGTCGATGGTGTGACTTCCACGTAAGATCTTATAGATTAGGCAGTTATATCATGACAAATCTACAAATTTAGGATTAGGTCTATTATTAGAGCAGCACAAATATCATAGTAGACCATAGTTCTACAATCTCTTCTGTCAGGTGGTCGACGACTTGAGTAAACTTGAAAGGCAAGTAAACAGGTGAACTAATGTTACATCCTTGATCTGCCTATCTAGTAATATATAGGAGAGAAATTGTTTCAGTATATGCTAAGGCCTTGATGCAGTATGCTAACTGGTTCAACCTTGAGGCCAGAGATGCATGAGTTTGAGTTGAGACTAACGTATTTAGGCTGAGAAAAAAAGTTTTTCTATCACACGATTGACTAACGAGCGAGCGAGTGAGAGAGAAGATGATCGATCGATTTATTCCTGATTCAGATATGAATAAATATATGACTAACAACGCAAAAACTCAAAGAATTTGAAAGATACGGTTATCAGTATGGGGTTGTGGAGACTTTCGACTTTTTGCCTGATATCATGAATCGACCAATGTTAGATCACCATTGAAAGCTTAGGAGCATTTTATGGCCGTTTCGTCCCAGTATGGGACTCCTCAACAGTGCGCGTCAGTGCTCTCGCAAGCGCGGCTCGAACCCAGGACCACTGGGGCATCCCGTACTAAGACGAGAAGGCCATCTAGGGATTCCAGGCGGCCAAACATTCATCGATTCATGACCTCAATTAGATGCATCTATCTTCAAACTAAGAAGTATTGTGGAAACATGGATTACATAATGGTATGTTTAAATCAAAATAATTCTGGAATAAGAAAGTATGTGGAATTGAAGAGGGACATATATTATGAAAACGGTGATCTTGAGTGCTGTTAGAAGTA